CACACACACACACACACACGCACATAAACAAACATTCATACACACATACACACACACACACACACACACACACACACACACACACACACATATGAGGGCTGTCCCACAGAAAACCGGAATTTGGCAGTAATTTGAAAACTATTCAATATTATTATTTTCACATTCTGTAAACGTACACTTGTGAAATCATTTTGAAATTTCCTGATTGAGAACCATGAGCATTGCACAAACCAAACGAACTCAGCAGTTCTCCAAAGATGGCTACCCCCTTGGAAAATTCTTCAAGGGTAGAAGTGAGGTCTGTCATTCGGTTTCTGACCACAAAAGGTCTCAAGCCTATAGAAATACACACTGAAATAAAGTCAGTTTACGGGGAGAAAGTAATGGAAAAGTCACAGGTGTATGAGTGGTGTAGTATGTTCAAAGCCGGGCATACGGATGTCAATGACAAAGTTCACCCAGGACCTTGTTTTTCTGCCAAGACTGAGGACAACAAGAGTCGCGTTAACGAACTCATTCAAACAGACAGGCGCCTAAAAATTCCCGAAATTTCCGAGTCGCTTAACATTTCAAATCGATTGTCCATAGGATAGTGTTTGATGAGTTGCACTGTCGAAAGGTCTCTGCTCGCTAGGTCCCAAAAGAGCTGACAGCTGACCACAAGACGCAACGTGTTGAAGTGTCTCAGACTTTGTTGAATCGTTGTCGCCAAGCTGTCACGGGAGTCATGAACGCATATGGAGACCTCCAACAATACGATGGAACATTCCTGAGAAGCATTATTACAGGTGATGAGACTTTGATACACCACATAAACCCTGAGATGAAGAGGGATTCAAAGGTTTGGAAGTCCACGTCTTCACCTCCTCCGAAAAAGTTTAAAGTTCAGCCAAAGGTGAAGAAACTCGTGGCCACGGTTTTCTGGGATGCTAAAAGTGTTCTGCTTCTTGACATTCTGGAACCAGGACAAACTGTTAATGCTAACAGATACTGCCAGACTCTTGATAATTGAGAGAGGTTGTGCGCCGAAAAAGCCCAGGCCGGCTGTCCAGCGGGGTCATTTTTAGCAGCATGACTACGCAACACCACACACCGCAAACGCTATGAAAGACTTGATCCAAGGTTCGGCTGGGAAGTTCTGCCACCCTTCCCCCTCACAGTCCTGACTTGGCCACGTCAAATTATCACCTTTTGGACCAATGAAACGCCATATTTACTTTTTGGACAGCGATTCACCGACGACGAAGACCTCATGGAAGCCGTGAAAGATTGGTTGAAATCCCTTGACGCAAAATTCTTAAAGGAGGTTTTCTTCTCCCTGATCCAGTGATGGGAAAAATGCGTCCTGAGAGGTGGTGATTACATTGAAGAATAAAGCATATGTTGAGGTATGATATGTTACATTTTTATTATAATAGGACAAAGATTGTTGCTTTTATGGACCTTCTCCGGTTTTCCGTGGGACAGCCCTCGTATATGCAAACGTGCACGCACGCACGCACGCACGCACGCACGGACGCACGGACGCACGCACGCACACACACACACACGCTCACACACGCTCACACACACACACACACAATGTCAAGAATGCGCCACCCCCTCTCAATCCCTTCCCTTACCTATTGTTTATTACCCATCTCTACTTTGTACCACTTTCAAGAAAAGAAAGCATTATACACACCATTCAGTTGGAGGTACTCGTGACGTGATCGTTGCTTTTCACCGAGTGCGTTTTGTTATTCAAATTTAGGCGTTGGGTCGCCCCCGTGTCTCATTGTTATGCAGAGCAGGTATAGATACAAGTAAAACAACAATAACATAAAATAAAGTCGCGAATCCAGAAGAATCGATGCCTGTGCGGTGTGCAGCTGCTAGTTTTTGCAGCTGCATTGAAGGGCTATATTTAGATGACACGCCACATTCAGCTCTTTCTGCCAGCTCGTGCATGGCAGACAGCGAAATGTGCGCACGACCTTGACGTTCGTTTACCCCGCACCGTGACCACACGCCTTGCTTCCACACTGTGAAACAGGTTGCGTGATTTGCTCTCCCCCGCAACATGTAGATCTACCGGTGAAACTAAAAAAAAAAAACAATTTAAAAAATAAATGAAAATTGTTCACAGAGTGGTTTGCTTCCCTGGAGATTTTGCAGTAAATATTATTAAACGATACTCTGAAGCATTTGACGGTTTTACCGGACAGGTAAGAATTTCACTGCTGGTCCGATTAAAAAACGAACCAAAAAAAAAAAAACATTGAAAAAGAAAATAGACGTTCGGTCATTGTGCTATGGCAGTGATTGCGTTATAAACTTATATTCATTAATGCTAAAATTTATAAATTTATTGTTATTATATTGTTAATGTATTGCTTCTATGTTCAGTTTGACAAGCTCGTGCCTATGCGGTAATGAGTTACAAATAGATCTAAATCGCACCAAACTACATTTTTTAGCCCCCACCACCTCACCTCCTTTGCCTCATCCTCTGGGCTCCTCTTTCTGCAGCCTTTCTACTTCTACTGCTACTCCTTGGCTCCTTCTTAAACTGCTGTCATTCAGCCACACCCCTGATCTTCTGTTAGGAAAAGTGTCTACAACTAGCCTTCTCGGACATGGGCGAAAAATCTCGGAGGTCCCGTGAGCAAGTTGCGCACATTAAAGATCCCTTGGTGGTCTAAAATCAATAAGAATAGGCTTCGACCGCCACCCGGGCAACATTCAAAATGGTCTCCTGCAGCAGAGCTCTCGAATTTTACAAGAGACCTGCTCCCAGGTATGAAATATGGATAAGATATAATTATATAGGCCTAAGGTTTAATTTGTCTCTTGACAAGTCTGACAAGTGCATCTGTAAAATTCCCCGAGGTCTGTTTATTATTGAACTCTTTATTTTTTATTTATTTAACCAATAAATGCACCTATATAATGTGACACAGTGTATACAATAAATAGGTTAAAAAGAAAAAACCCACAAATCTTGATGGTGACTAACAATGTCCTGAGGTTAATGAAAACTTTTTCAGAAAATATAATTCCCCCTTTCCTGCACTCTAACCATGTTCTGCCGTCTGCTTTCGTGTTTCTACACTCTGCCCCGCCCCCCTCCCACACACACACACATCTTACCCTCTCCTTT